CCTAAAATATGTTTTTTTAAAAAGGAGAATAAAACTTGATGCTTGAGAGATGAAGACAGCCTTCTGTTTTCCGTATTCAAGAGGTCATTGGCTCCTTCCTCTCTTTCCTCCTCCTACACATCTAATCAAACACAGTGTGCTCTGCCCTGCTCAGTCATGCTTCTCACCTCCTGGTTCCCGAGGCTTGCACTCAGGTCCCCCTCTGTCCCCCTCTGGGGACCTCCACACACACTCTGTATGCCCAGTCCCCTCCTTTCTGCCCTTAACGCCCTCACAAAGTGATCTTCCTAGGAGGCAGCTTTCGGCCCGCTGTCCCTACTGTGAGCCATCAGTGAGTCCCCACCCTGTGCACACTGATGTTTTCATTTCCTGTGGCTCTCCGGGCCTCCCTGGACCCTTCCATGCCCTTGAACTGCCACTCACCAGTCGGCGTCCTCCCAGGCTTCATGCTCGCTCTCCTGACCTTTCCTTCTGCCACCCCCCCCCCCCGCCGAAATGCCCTCACCTCCCCCACTCCCTCGCATATCCAGATTCTTCCCATCCTTCAAGGTCCAACTCAGACAACCCTCTTTTGTTGAACCTCTGCTGAGCAAAATAACCCATTTGTGAGCCTCCCTTCTGACTCATAACGCAGGCTTCTGCCCCTCCGGCATGCAGTCATCCCTTTAGGGGGTATTTTATGCTGTGCCCTTTGCGTTTGAGCTCTCTTTTCTTTAAAAGCACATGCTCAGGCTTCTAGTTCTTCCTCAGTTACATTAATTCCTTGACAAGGAGAACCGTGAGATTGGAGGTCCTTGCTCCTTCCCTGGTGTGAGCATGCAGTGGGGACTAGTGTGTAATCACAGGTGTTTTGGAACAGACAGATCAATGTGCCTTTGTCGTGATTTGGTGACTTTGGGATAAAGGGTGGGATTGGGAGCTAGGGAAGGAGGAATGATTTCAGAAGTAAAACAAGTGAGAGTACTGCTGTTTCCCTTCTCAACTTGTCCGTGAGGACATGCCTTCCAGGAATGGCGGGTTACTGGGGTCGGGCTTGAGAGCCTCAACAGAGACCCGGGGATGGAGGACACAGTCACTGAGGCCTGAGCTACGTGCTCAGCTCCGCCCCGACTCACACTGTAACGCTGAGCAGATCACTGAGCCCTTTCTCCGTCTGTCCCTTTATTGCTAAAGGGAGAAATCATAATACTTGCATTTTCATTGCATACAGTGATGCTTTCTCCATCTTTAAAATAATTGCTTTTTATGGTTAAATTTTGGTCCATCAAGCAGCACAATGTGGATGTCAGGGTGGTCTGTAACTAAAGTCAGAAGTGAGCGTGTAATCAGGAATGGATGGCAGGGGCGTAGGTTGGCAGAATCAGGGACTCGTAAGATACAGGAGAAAACAGGCATTTGGGGGAAAAATCTGTGATGTCCAGGGCGGGCAGTAGCCTCCAGAGCTGGAAAATCCCTGGGGCTCAATGACTGGTTCCAGGACCTGGCACGGGCCGAGTGCGAGAACATAATGAGGGAGGCTGGGAGCGTTGCCTTTAATTTTTGTTATCTCTGCGTGAGAATTCAGTAGTATTCTCACGAGACTAGATGTTTTTTGGGTTGATTTGGATATGTTCACATTTTTGGTTTTCAAAAATCTGCTTCCCCTGCTGTTTTCCCGATTTCTTCGCAGCGTTCCCATTCCGTTCTCTTTCTGTCGCCTCTTCGGAGAAGGGCTTGAACGGGCAGTTGTGACGCATCCCGTGCTGATTACCTCCCATGCTCTGTGTGGCACTGACACAGCCCTTGCGGTCAGTGCTGGGCAGGGTTCGGGGGCACCTCCCAACACTACAGCTCTGTCTGCCTGCCTCCCTCTCCCTAACTTTTAAGGCAATCGTCAGGGCTCCTTCCCACCAAGGTTTTAGAATACGCCCCATGCCTGGGACCTTTCTGGCATCGGCAGTCCTCGACGGGCATATGCTTGCTAGCGCAGGAAGGAGCTGTGTCAAAGGCAATTGTCTTAAATTATGTCTGTCTCCAGTCTTTCCCCAAAACACACGGGCTGCTTCTTTTTTGGCCTGTTGACAAAAGCATCCCCCAACCCCAGCCCACGGGCAAATTCTGGTTTTCTTTTCCACATACCCCTAAAAATGTAAATAATTTCAGTCTACCACTGGTTGGTCTATTTGTGCTATTTTAGCTGAAGACAGACAGTTTATTCTGAGCTCTAGCCATCCGTCAGCTTTCCCCAGCTCGTTACAGCATCTACAGTCTGGAACTTCTATTGGCAGTCAGCTGGGACACACATACAAGAGTAAAAGATACACATTCGGTCCGCATATTTTAGCATCGATATCCTCAGTTACATGATAGGTGATAATTGATTGGGTTTTATTATAGAATTGGTTTCTTCGGAAGCCGGGGTGTGTTTTGTGTGTGTGTGTCCGCGGACATGCCTGGGGCTCACTTGCAGACCCTTAGGTGACGGTGCCGTGGCAGCAGGTCAGGGCATCCCCTGCCTTTG